TGAAGTGTCTGTTTCTGTAGGAGCTTCCAAACGTGAGCCTGGGAATACTTCTCTCTGTCTTTCTATGAGTAGCTATCGCCCTGACTTGCAATTCATGTGTTCTGCTTAGATGTTAGAATAAAATCAATCCCATCCTTCTGTCAGCTACAAACCAACAAACCAGTTTCAGGTTTTCTACAGTCTTGCTTCAACACCAGTGGAGTTTTATTGTAACCTTATGGAAGTTCTAATTGATTGCTTTTTTTCCTTACCAGAAAGGAAGTCAGAAGCACTAATCCCTTTGTCTTGCATGCAAATGCAAAGCTACAGTGCTGAATTTGCTTCACAACAATTTTGGCATTTCTATAGACTGTTACAGGCACACAATTTCAGGAACTCCCATCTTTTCGGTGGATCAAACACATGCTTATCTTTGCAAACTTCCATGGTGTAAGTTGTTCTTAAACAGTGTCTTTTGAGGTTGATGGCTATTTGCAGAGTTCAAATGCCCCAAGGCAAGCGTTCATCACTGAAACAGATGCATTGCAAAATCCAAATTGCTTAAAAATCAATTGTTAAATGGGTTTTCATACTGATGAGCAGTTAGCGTATTTCTAACTATTGTGATCAATGCGCAAACTAGAATGAATTAAAATCAATTTCATTTTAAAGAGAACTATTTAATGTTAAAATTTTAATGAGGTCATTTCTGTGATGTAGTGTTTGTTAATGTGCAAGTACTTGTCATACTGACACACAGCTAGTTTAGTAAAGCTTTTAAATGTGTGCTTAGATCTGCCAAATCAGACATGCACTTAAGTAATTAACAAAGCATGTACTTCATTTTGAAATCAGTTTTGAAGAATTAAGTAAAATGAACTCATTATTAGGAAATGTCTGCTGTGGATTAAATGGAACACGAAGGCAGTATTAGGTGGTACAACAGTTATTCAGGTCGTATCTGGGTGGAATATCACCTACCTCACCAAAGAAAGACATTTGGATGAACAGGGTGGAGGCAACATAGAGGTCAGATGTGCAGGTGATTGTAATAGGGGGATGCCTCTGTGGCTGTGTTTCCCACTGTGCTCCGGATCCATGTGTGTCAGGCTGCCTGCAGGAGAAGCACTGGCTGCAGTCCAAGTGTCGTCAAGTCACAGCCCTGAACTGTAAGTCGAGGAGAGTCGTTTGCACATGGTGACATCTCAGTGCTGCTGCCTCTTGAAGTTTCAATATTCAGGAAATAGAGAAATGGCCATGCAAAAAGTATTAAAAGTGGGCAAATTGCTGGCAAGCCTCAGTAGGAGCGTTTTTAATATCTACATTTGAATTTCATTACCAAGAAGCGTCTTTCCAAACCAGAGAAAATCAACTCTCTTTTCTACGTGATTTTTTTAGCCCTCACAGGGTTTTAGTGTTATTTGTGGTGGTCTCTGTAGCTCAAAAACAGGTTGTTATTTCTTCGGTTCAGGCTGTTTCAATGTATTAGATCTAATGTAACCTTGGTATAAGGGCAGTGATGTGAAATGGACTTACGTTAGCAATGAATTTAGCCCATTTTTGTTAGAAGTGAATAGCACAGAGGTAGTCCTCAGTGTCTCAGGCAACTGCTACAGTGATCAGTTTGGTTGTTCTAATATAATAAGCAGATATTGACTTTAGTTGAGGTGAACACTGAGATTTACTGTCTTGAAAACTAAAATATTGACTGAGGGAAAACCAGAGTCAATATTTACCTTGAGGGACAATAAATCTTGATGTTCACTGGAATATGAAGTTGCTGTGATTTTCAGAAGTGTTGAACCTTGTTCTGGTTTAAGCTGCAGATGCTCATCAGGAAAGCTACCCAAAATATAGCTAGGAATTTCTTTTAATGAATCACATCAGTTTGGCAAGTGTACTTTTTCCTGTATGTCCTTTGGGAGATCATTGTTATTACTGACCTCCATGTAAATAAATACATTTCAGGGTGCTGTTAATTACATAAAAGTTCTCTTGTGCTTAGATGTTTGGACCTTTCATTAGAAGGTAAGTATGAGCTATTAAAAAAAAAAAAAAAAAAAGATAAACAACAGATACATATAAATGCTAACTTCTGTATGTTGTGTAGGAATCCAAGATAGTTTAGGAAGAACTTAGGGTTTGCATTGGAGTGAGTAAGAACTGGCTTCTTTTTTTTTTTTTTTTTTCAGAAGAAAACTACATTGGTTTGTGTCCCAAAAAACAACTTCTATCTTTCTTGCCCTTAATTCCTTTGGACCATGCCTATCAATTTGATTTTAGGACTTAGGTGTTAATATATCTCAGATTAGTTGTGGTTACAGAGAGTGATACAGCGAGCAGTGCTGAGTTACAGAGCCCTCTGCTCATCCCTCCATCTTGTTCTAGCTTCCGTCCTTCAGGAGATGCAGTGCAGCCATGCAGCTCTGCACCAATGTTGGATGTTCACTGGTAAGGGTTTTCTAAGTGCACTGCATAGTGGGTTTGTGTAAGTTTGGCAGCAGTGAGCATTAAGTGGATTGTTTTCCCAGGAGCTGTTGTGTTTGTGCTTGGGAAGAGGAGTGGTGTATCCCAGCCTGCTCTGGCTCAGGTGTGTTGGCCTGAGCCTATCAACTTGAATCCAAGAGAGGTCCACAGGAAGCATGCATAGGATCAAGGTGCGTGAGGAGCAGCTGAGCTCCCTGGGTTTGTCGGGCCCAGAGAGAAGAGGCTGAGGGGCAGCTGCAGCTCTCATAGGGAGCTCTGCTCTCTGGTGTCAGCAACAGGACATCTGAGGAGGCTCAGGTGTGGGTTAGGGAAAGGTTCTGCACTGGAGGGTGGTTTGATGGGAGTCCTAACTTTAATGATGTGGATGCAAGGAGCAACTGAGCTGCAGACTGCCGTGTTGTGGGCTCTTTGGGGCCAGCACGCGAAGCAGGAGCTGCAGGGTTTAAGTTGGTCCTTTGGGCTCTGCTGATATTGTGCGGCTGGTGCTGTGTGCCGTTGTCCATGTGCATGACCTGCTCAGCTCGTACAAACCTGCAGCTGTCTCCAGGGAGAGAGATGAGGCTCCCCATGTGGTCACACAGGCTTGACATGACTAGGCACCAGAATACAAATGCTATATTAACAGCTTTATTATTGCAGCCCTGCCTGCTTTCCAAGAGAGTGCATTTGAGGTATCACTTCACATCACTGTTAACTGTGTATCGTCTTTTTATTTTGCCTGTGCGTGTTTCCTCAGGTGGGTTTTAGTTCATGTGGCATCCCATCCCTTCCCAAACCCTGCTGGTTTTCTTATACAAAAATGTGCCACGAATGGCAAATACCACACATTTTGACCATCAAAATATAAGTGTTGTAAATTCCTGATGTTAGTTCTCTACTGTCTGCAAACGGGCTGCATGGGTTTTCCATATATAACTGACTGTAAACCAGAAGGTGAGAGGTGACTGTGCTCACAAGGCGGCAGTGCCAAGCCTTTGGTCTGGGCTGGTGCAGGAGCAGCTGTAGCTCACTCCTTGCTGTGGGCTGGGTGCTGAAGTACTCATGGTGTTTGTATTCTGGTGTTGTTCACCTCCATCCCTTAGGGAAAACTCTGCTTATGCCTAAAGCACACATTTCTCACAAATATCTCCTGTAGAAAGCAGTGTTTAGTCAAACAATTCAGGCAGAGTGTAGCTGCTTTTCCCCCCATAGAGCAAAGACACTGATAAATACCCTGAGTCTCTACATCCATCTGTTGGGACTGTGCCTGCTTCTCAACACACTGCTATGGCCTCCTGTGCCTGCAGGCTGGGCTGGGAGCACAACTCCCTCCCACAGGTGCTTCCTTGCTTTGCTCCTGTGTGTATCGTTTCATGCTAATGAGTGTGACTGCACAGCTAATTAGTGAATAGCTGACACCTGAGACTTAGCTGCTATGCATATAGATATACCTGTGTATCTTTAGCAAGTTACCTTCTTCTCATCTGATAGGAAGTTAACGTGCCGATGAGGCACTGGTTCTCTTCTCAAGCCGATCTCCCCATCCTTCACCAGCAAAATATCGCAAATAAGATTTCATTATTGCTATAGTCATAAGCTATTATTTTAAAATGAAGCTGTAAATCAAATGTGTAGCTGAAATTCTTTATTTGAGGGGTGGGGTGGATGAGTCTACAGTTATTTTATCAGTGAGACTCGTACCAATGACAGCAGCATGGCCATGGAAATTTTCGCTTGCTGAAGAAGAAATCTTAGGTAGGCTCTGTTTTTGAGGGGCAGCAAGAGAGAATGTTGTATCTTCAGATCAGCTTCTGCAGACAGATTGGTTCAAAACAAGTAAGTTTTATTCATTACAGTAACAGAACTGTTGAAACATTCATTTGTTTAAACCTAGAAATCTGTTCAAGTACTGCTCCTCCGTGTGCTGCTTCAACCAGATTGAATGCTGAGCATCAAAAGAAATGTTTATCAAGCTTTTGTGTTATTTTTCTCAGTATTTGGTTGTATTTTTCTTTCTGCATAGATACTGTAGTTCAGGTGAATATACAGTCGTGTTTGATTGAGAGATATGTTAGAGAAAAGTCACTAGCATTTATGGTTTTGTGTATAAAGATGAAATTTGTAGGTTGTGTTAAATTACTTACCAGGATGTGCTAGAAGCACAGGCAAATGAGTGCAGATTTTAAACATGTACCTTTTGAAACATGAAAATGATGCGGTGCATATGGTCCCAGTGAATGACATGATAGATTATACTGAGAGCAGTCTGAGCAAATGGAATTGTAATGGAATTCCTGCTCTGGCTTTAGAGAATAACTTATTTATCCTGCATCCTAAGATGCTGCATGCATACTACAGTTTATCATATACTTAGAAATCCCCTGGCAAGTCAATAATGAATAAATGAACTTAAAGATATGATAACACTTAGAGCATAAGGAGCAGAAGATAGGATGTTTTTCAGTCTACTCTTTTGTTGTTTTGACTGAGGTGTTTCTGCAGAGATGCTGACCCGGATAGTTCAAATGAATAGTTTTGATTCTTTTTTCTGGCAGGTGTACGAGGCAGTCCCATGCTACACTGAGTGCAATCAGTATTCTTGGGTAGTCGAACCGTGGTCTCCATGCAAAATCAACAGTGAACAAAATTCCCTCCACTGTGGAGAAGGAATACAAACGAGGAAAGTCAGGTGCGTGAAGACAAAAGCACAATTGCAAATTATAAAGAGCTCAAACATGCTTGCATAAAGCTGAAACAACTGGCTAAGTGACAGTGAGTATGTTGTTAAGTCCAAAGTATTTCAGATGAAAAGAAACGTGCGTGTCTGATGATTAACAGGGAAAGCACTGAGAGATGAAGCCTTGTGTTATGATTAAGATTTCTTTCATGAAGAAGGCATGATGTTTAAATTAGAATTCTTTAACCTAAATGCCAAACAGGTACAGCACGCTCCTGACCTGCATAGCCTTCATATTCTCATTGCTAACATATTCCCTAAGTAATAGCACAGTGTTAACTGGAGTGGTGTTCATTATCAGTAAGTATTCATTCCCTAGGCTTGGCAAATACTGTGATTTCTAAATGTGAGGATGTTACTAATGGGAGTACAAAGGTTTGTTCTTTCTGGTTGTCATTTTCTCTTCATTCATGTGTCTTCCAATCAAAGTTAAAAGCTCCTTGTATGAAGCTTTAAATATTTATTTACAGTATTTATTGAAACCTGAATCGCGGAAGTCCATCATGTGCATAGCATTTCAATTTGGCTTGTTAACACCATTAATTCATCACTTTGACTTAATGCGTACAGCTTTGTGTTACATACAGTGTCCTATCTGGAGTTGTGCAGACCTGCTGACATCTGTCACTTCTGTAATAAGCTGATTAAACTCAAACAAAAATTAATGTTTTCTGTGTAGGTGTGTAAGTACTACAGAAGACCATGGAGGGGAAACTGTACCCAACACCCTGTGCAATAAGGCTGAAATCCCAAGTGAAATTCGTAAGTGCAGCTTGTACTGCCCCAATGAGTGTGCAGTGTCTGACTGGGGACCATGGAGCACGTGTCCACAGGTAGGTTTTCCTGGCTGAGGTTCCAGTGGAAAGTTCCTCATGTTGTATTCTTTGTCCTTCAACCGTTGTGTGAAAGAATTAATTTCTAACAACAAAGTAAATACATTTTCATGGATCCTACTGTCTACGTGGTTGAATCTGGATATTTCTTTATTTCTACAGAGACTGAGCTCTGGAAAATTACTTGGTAAAACACATAGGTATGTCTGTGACAATTCAATCCACCCTTTCACAGGTGAGGATCCAAACAAGCACAGCAGGTGACAGGATCGGCATTGTGTTGTGGTTAAGTGTCTGTTTGTGTCCCCCTAGTCAAGGGAGCGCTCTGTGTGTGGTGCATATCTCTCATGGTTAGGGGTGGTGGCACTCTTCCAGACAGATCTTAGGCTGGAGGGAATTGCAGCTCTCTCTTCTCAAAAAGACAGTATTTCTGTCTAGCATCTCCTCCTCCAAAAACCCTGAAGGAAGATTTGAGGCAGTAGTAACAAGGGTACAGCAGCAAGATGTGTGAACAGTTTGTTATGTCACAAAATACTCTAAGCTCTCTGAATTATGCAACCGCTGCCAAATGCTCTCTGTTGTTTGTTAGTTTTTTAACTGTCCAAGATGGAAAGAAGCTGCAAATTTTGCCCTGTGAAAACTCTCTGGCCTCAAGGCATGCGATTTGAAAGCTATCGTTTCTCTCTGGTTAGTGTTGAAATAGGTGCTAGGTTAATTCTAAGTGGTTTTTGTGACATACTTAAGTGGCAGAAATATTCACTGCCCCTACGTTAACAAGGCCGTTATCAAAAGTCCGAGTGGTTATTGGACAGATACTTGTAGTACTGCTGACATAGGTAATTTCCTCCTGTAATATTTTGTGTAGGCTATCGATATACTCAGTAAGAACATGTCAAATGAAAGCTTGTGTTTCATTTCCTGTATTCACCTCCTCCTGAGCAGATCAGCTTCGATTAAGTAGAATTCGCTTGCAACCGATACAGATCCTTTCAAAGTCCCACCCTAGTTGGGCTGTTTCTTTGCCATTAACTTGTTTTCAGAAATTGATTTTCTTCACTTCAGCTTGCAGTAACTAATGCAGCTTCTCAAAGCTGTTGGGTATTTTTCAGTCACATTAGTGAGTTTGTTATGAAGGACTGCTTGAGGCATCCTAATATCCTTAAGACACCCTGAGTTTTTGGTGGAAGACTCCTTTACTGCAATGGTGAAGTCTCTACAGCTCACAGAAGCACAAAGGGATGACCACAACAAAGCCTGATGGGCCTGATGGGCCTTATGTCACCATCAGGTGACATAACTTTTGGTGCTTCCAGGCTCATGTGCCACAGTCCTCATTTCTCCTTGTACATCGTTCTGCCATGGGAGATGTTAATTCATAAATATGAGGGTGTCTGCCTGCCAATGCAATTAACTGAACAATATGCTTTCACAAGCTGTTCTGCAATGCTTTGTTGTGAAACAGAGATGACTGTGTGTGGATAGAGCATGTGTTTAAATAGTTCTGTCCAGATACAAAGCAATAAACAGCTTGAAGTTTTATAGACAAATAAAACCCTCCCTTTGAAGAGTTTACAGCAGCACTGTCTCACTTTTATAGCTACACGGGCTGTTTGTGTTCCTTTGGTTTTAAGAGGGCCACACAGCACAGTTCCTCCCAGACTGCAGATGCTTAATAACTCTAAGGCAAGCACTGGATTTGCTATACGTCCAGAATGACCCTTCTGTGAAAATAATGTTTATTCATTCTGTACATGGGGCAGGGATTGAGGGTAACTGAATGGCCAGGAGTAAGGCACTGCCAGCACAAGGATGATTAAAGCAACCCTCAGCCTCCTCAGTTGTCACAGGGAAAAGGTGGCAGCCAAGAATGGCCATGCACTGGTGAACATAGTGAATGGAGTTACAAAGGCAATGGAGTCAATGGAGTTTCTCATTTCATCTTTAAGAGAAGATCTACGTATAGTCCGTTGGATAACTCCATTATAGCTGGGAGGTTGGATTTGGGTCTTGCATGGAGGCACTGCAAAAAACCACCCAAATATAAAAGTTTGCACCTGGAGCCAAACATCATTTTGGTCAAACCTGTTGTGCCTCCAGTCTGCATCAAGTCTCTTGCTATGGAGTGGCACGTCAATAAGTTGGTCTATGTAAAGCCTCTAGCTCTTTATGATTGCCTGTTCAGTTTTTTTTGAGGGAATTTTACTCAGTAGGTGATAAACACCTGCATGATTTCCAACTCACCTCATGCTGCAAGTAAATGCCCATCCTCAGAGAATGTGCAAAACACTTTTTGTATATTCACTGAAAATACATTTCCCAAGTATGGCTCCCCAGGTAACTTAAAACTTTTGAAGGATCACATCATGCTTAAACAGAAAAGACAAACCATACAGCCTTGTTACTTTTCTTTCGAGCACATTTACATTTCATTACAAAATAGTTGGCGTTATTTTAGACCTAGAGCTCTTGTGAGGCATCTGCCAAAGAGCATTCTGGGAAATCCTCCTGTATCTCTGGCCGTGTTTGGCTTACAGGAGATAAAGAGGATTTATGAAACTTGACAAATTCCAGTTTGTAAGAAATGAGCAACTCCAATTTCAACATCATCTTTGACTGAGTAGCTCTTTGGTTCAAGATATTTACCTAAGATTTGGTCACGTGAGAATTCTTTTCCAGTCACTTTGGTGCTCTGCTCCAATTTTATAGTGTTGATAATAAATTCATCCTGATAGCGGAATAACTAAGCTTTATCAGCCAAATATAAAAAGGCCTTTTAGATTATCCAGTTTACCCTTTGTCAATATGTCATTGTATACCCTGGATACTTTCTGGGGTACTACTTTATTACTTCTGTTTTATCTTGTAGCAGTACTCTTCCCATGTGGATTTTTTACTTTCAAGATGGTAAATGATCTTGAATCATATTGAAATCAATGAGTCATAAAGGTGGTGACTGCTTTGTCAATAGGAAGTATTTTCTTCAATACTTCTTTCTACAAAAGCATGCAGCTGTGGTTGTGTTCCTTTTGGTTTCTTGATTCCTTTTTAGTATTACTCTTTGTAGGGGCATTTTTCTTAGTTCAAGGCGCTGCCACCATTCCTTTATGTAGATTTTTCAATTGAATTGCAATTTTTGCATCTTGATCATGCTGCTATTTAACATTGCTACACAAATATAAATTGTATTTCCTCTAATGGCACTTTGCTGTGACCCAGAAATGCAACTGTCTGAAATGTAATACCTCAAGATTACTTTTGAGGTTCTGTCTCTTTGCTGGATTCAAGAAACTCATAATTACTGATTTAAAGCTTCTCTTTTACTCTCATATTCTCTATTGTAAGAAGAAATTCAAAATGGTTTTCTCTCTGATTGAAGACTATTTTTTGGCTCATAAAGTTTTCTTCTTTGTCGCTAAGTAACACCCATGTAAGTTAAATATCAAGGCTTTAAAGCCATTAAAATAACAGTTTGAAGCTTGCTAGTTAGTTAGAAAAAAAAATCATGAGCAAATTAGATTGACTTGCATTTTGCTTCAGAGATTTCATATTCATTCCGGCTACAATAGCGTGTTTAGTCAGACATCATCACTTGATTGCTCAAAGACCCAGCTAAACAATCTAGAAGCTGAAATCCTATCATCTCTGTTAAATATTCAGTGATCGAATAACAGGCACTACCTGCAGTGTCTTGACTTTGTCTTCATCTGACTTGGAAATATAATTAATTGACTTCAATTGAATTCATCAAAGCACTCTTGAAATGAGTTAATATGTGAGTTGTGCTACAAGTCCCTGAAATAATTACCTCAATTTTTTTTTTTTGTTAGCTGTCTGCTACCTTGTGGATAGCAGTCACAGCCCTACTGTCGGATCTGAGTGGCCTTCATGTTTCCCTCATCTGTTGGTTTTCCTAGCAGCAAATTCTAAGAGGTCTGAAATTAGTTAATTAGAGGGGGTTACATGTCAAGCGAATGAGAGCAGCTGTCCCTATTTCAGTGAGCATTTTCCTCCTGGATCAATAGCCATTTACAGTGCTCAGGACTTGTAACAACTGATTTATTATTCTCCTGAATCTGTGAGGTGTGTGCAATATTCAGATAACTGCTTGTACTAAATGTGGCAGCAGGCAATACAGCTGACTCACAGGTTTCACAGTGACTTTCATCTCAGGTGTGAGTCTGAGTTGTTATGGTTTGGAAGTGCTTTCCCCCTAAGCCAATTGGAAAAGAAATCGAGGACTCATTTGTACGTTTTGCGGTTCATTGCATGCGTTACTGGATCTTCATCTCAACTGGTAACTTCACATGTAAGCTTGACAGAGGACCTGTATTATGGGTATTGGGTTGAAGAATGAAGATTGAATAGAGTTTAATTTCTAGACCAGGGGATAATTCATTTAATTCAAGAATAAGAATCATGCTGGCCTAATGCTTTCCTGGATGAACATACACTGTTCTTTGTCCATAGGTATGACCTGATTTTTTTTTGAGATGGTTTTATCAAAAAAGTTAGTGATTTATATATATATTTTAGGTTTGTTGGTTTGTTTTATTCACCTTTATTAAAAATGTTTATAAAATAAATAACAGTTACGTAAGTATGCAAGTGAGTTTCAGAACTTAGATACATCTCAAAAAGGAAGTCTCCGTAAGTGCATTTTCATTTTAAAGGACTGCTCGTGTTACTGTAAGGGGATTGTTAAATTGTTCTGAAACATCCTCATCTGCATGAACAATACAGTGGTTCATTGCAGTGTTAAAAATAGTTAAACCTCGTTGCTGCCAACGCATTTACCTTAGTTTGAGGTTGCATGTTTCCTTATGAATAGACTTTTAAATATAACGTGGCCAGCTATTTATAGAGCAGCGTGCTTAATACAAGCCATTTGATAAATAAAGCAGCTTAAAGGGCTTTCTGTTACTGGGTTACAACCTTTATGCTGAACAATTATGATGCATGTGAAAGCCTAGATCAGTGGACAGCTTTTTAAATCCACCACA